TCAGCGTGTGCCATTGGGCCACGGATCGCCTCGGCGTTGCCAGCATATCCGTCCATTGCTTCAGCGCAACTCCAGTAGCATTTCCTCCGATTATCACCTGAAACTACTTCTCTCAACGCTGCGAATAATGTTGCATTCAGCTTTAGATCAAATGTCGTTTCTCTACACGAAATGGTTGATAGTCAAGATAAATTCTTTTTGATAAGGTTTTATTTGTGTAATGCAAAGTACTTTGCTAAACGTAATTTTACATCAACAAGCAATTAATTTGAATCAATCCTAATGAAAAAATGGTTGAAGAGCATGTAATTTTGTCCTACGATTCCACCTGCAGAAAGTAAACAGGACAGTAGCAGAGCTATGCTGGATACCTTTTCTAAGAATAGATGCCTTGTCTACTCTTCAAGAAGATCCTTCTGAACGTTCAGATCCCCAACAGTTAAACTCAATTGGTCAATGTTGCCCATATCCTAGTCTGACAACATGCACTTGTTTTCTACCGTCGTTATTTTTACTGTTCTCTAAGCCACACAAAACATGGAAAAGTACGGCTGATCTAGTCAAAAACGTGGATGCTTTCCCTGAGAGATGACCGTATGGATCGGCAACATGCATGCATCATGAAAATACGAAAGTACAAGGACAAATAATGAAATTCTTTGTTTTGAATGGAATCCACGTGACTGCTGCACGGCGTAGACTTTGATAGTCTTCCTGATGCCGCAGTAGCGCACCCCACTAATGGCCATGAACTGGACCTCGCCAAAAGACGAAGAAGAGGCTGACCTAGATACATTAGAAATAAACGTTTCTTAAGAAGTCTTATTTATGAATGTTTGCAGTGGCCAAGTAACAGTTGTTGCGCCGGATTGGCGCAGTGGACAGAATTCATCGCCATGGTTGCTCAACAGCCGAGGAAGAACTAAGTCTGAGCATGTGAATAAGTGACTTTACCTTGAGTCCCATACAACACTTTGGATTAAGATCGGATGGGCAAACAGAGGATGGGATGTCGCAAATGCTTTCGACAGAAGATGTTGCAGGGAATCTCCTTTTGAAAAATATCATACTAGAGGATGCTCACAAATTGAATTTTGATCTTTCGAGAATTGTATTGCTTCATAATCTCGGGAACGAGAAAAATGAGAATATATTGGGTAAATGTTAAAGCATCTTTCCCAGTAGAGCATTAATTCGTTATTACAATTCATCTTAGGAAAAGAGAGGACAAGTAGCGAAGGCAAGGGAATGCTATTAAGCATAGCGCCGCACGCATTGTTCTTCTTCAAGAAACTCCCTCTTCCCGGATTTTTCCAAATAATCCTACAATGGTTTCCTCTAAGAAACTTCTGCTATTACGAAAATCGAATTGTACTTTGTCAACAGAATATCGGTGGAGAAACTATAAATATTTCGTCGCAGTTCTGTCCTTCTCGAAAATGCTTGTCTATCATATGCATCTGTTGCGTTTACATACCCTAGTGAAATAATTACCAGCATCACGGCATGCCAGTCTTTTAATAAGAATAAGAGCGAAAAGGCATCCTACACTCGAGGACATGCTTTTATGAGGAGAGTTTCGGTGTACTTTATACGTTTTGCTTGCATACGAAAGAAATTTGGGTAGCCATTGGTCATATTCACCAGGGTGCTCTCGAAGTTGAAGCTTTTAGGATAAAGTAGTGAGTTGTAAATAATCGAAGCTTTTCAATGTTCCACCTTGCTGTAGAAAAAAGAGTTGGGGATGGAGGTTGTACATTTTTTTCTATTTTTTCATTTTTTTCTTCTTTTTCACATTTTTTCGAATAAGTTCTTGATCAAAATGGCTGCTTATAAATAAGTCTTCATTAAAATCAACAGAGCTTGAAATGAAAAGCTTATAAGATATAAGAGGTGATGTTCCATTTCACATGGCTAAAATGGCAGGAACGAGGACTTTGATGACCATCAGCAATAAACAGTGAGAAAATAACCTACTTGTCCTGCCCTCTCGTTGGAGCTGACACGATCATAATCAGAGACTGTAAT